AGCCCAAACAAGGTGAAAAACTTAAAAATGTTACTACTTGTTATAATCTGTTCTTCCCATGTCTCTCTCATCCTTGACTGAAAGACATGTTCCCATTCTTACCCCCCACTAATTTTACCTTAATCTTTCCCTTTGATCCACACAAGTATTGTGAATGCAACAATATGAATAGATCTTAGACATAAGATTTGTTGAGCAAAAGGAGTCAGACACAAGAATGCATATGGTATGATTTTGTTTACATGAAATACAATCCCAGGCAGAATTAATCTGTGCTGTTGCAAGTCAGGACAGTGATTACCACTGGAGATAGGGAGTGATCTAGAAAGGAGGCCAAAAGGGTTTTTTAGGGTGCTGGCCATGTTTATTGATCTGAGTGTGTTAAATGGATGTTTAGTTTGTGAAAATTCCTCTAGCTCTACACTTACCTGCACCTTTTAATATGTATATTTTAATAAACAAAATCCCCCCCTCAAACCCACTAAACTATTGTGCTTCCCAGGTAGGTATATGGAGTGGCACTAAATGCTGTGAAGAGCATAAAAAGAAACAGATTAGTTGTTGTCAGGGATGGGGAAGGACACATGGGGAGTAACTGCTTGACTAGTATGAGATTTTATTTTGAGGTGACGAAAATGTTTTGGAATTAGATAGATGTGGTGGTTGCACATTGTGAATGTGCTAAATGCCACTGAATTGCTCATTTAAAAATGGTTAATTGTATATTCTGTGAATTTCAATTAAAAAAGAAAATTGGTTCACCAAATGCGATGTGGTACTCTGGGTTGAATCCTGAACAGAAAAAAGTGTTAGTGGAAAAATTGGTGAAATATAATTGTTTGGCCAATTTAATTGATAGTTTTTTCTGTTTTGAGAAATGTGCCATGGTTATGTAAGATGTAAACATGAGGGGAAGTTGGGTGATGGTTATATTGGAATTCTCTGAAACTTTTCTTTAAATATTTGTTCCAAAATAAAAATTAAAAAAGCCATTGGCCACTGTAATAGGATCTCAGCTTTCATAAATTAGTGGTAAGATCTTGAGCAAGTCCCTTTTCTCTGATGAGCCTGTTTCCCATCAGCAAAAACAGATTAGGCTGCAAAAGCAATTTTGCTTGGGGGAGGGATAGTAACCCTCCCTCCCTCCAAATCCAGTTCAGAATCTCTAGGCATGAAGGGCTATGGTTAGAAAAATGAGGAACATTACCTTAGTCTAATGAGGAATCTTCAAAATCCAATTACCACTACAGGAATGATAGAGGTGAGAAAAACTGATGGATGACCTCAGATTCTTCTCCGTTCTTTAATTCTGTAGTTTTAAATTGTAGTCTTTACTTTCAGTAAACATGACTTTTCTTAGGTAGTCAAAGTTTGCTGAGAACCAAAGCCATGTGGAAAGGGAGTTCTTTTGGGAATTCATTCTTGACTGGAGCCTTATGTTGGAGTAGCAGATAAGGCAAGTCCTCTTACAGCAGGCTTTGAATAACAGGTTTAAGTATAGAATTGATTGAATAGGAACCAGTGTGGGACTGTAACATAGCAATGTTCCAGGAAGATCCACTTGGCAAGCAGTATACAGGGGAAGCTAGGGGAAGCTGAGATGAGGCAGGAAACTGAGCTCAAAGGAAGCCACAGGAGTCCAGATGGGACTTGAGGGCTTAGGCGAATGGTGCTCATGGGAATTAAATGATGTTTCTGCTGCGGAGAAGGAAAACACCACTGGATCTAATGACTGTTGGGGTTTATCTTTGTGGAATGTTATTTATAAATGCATGATTTGAGAAATCTATGTAGATTGGAGAGGTAATACAGTATTATATTTGAGATCATGAAGATAACAGCAGTGTGCCTTCATAGGGTTTAAGAGATAATACTTGAAAGCATTTGGAAGAGTGCCAGACGCACAGCAGGAACTCAATAAATGTTTGGAGTTGTTGAGCATCTAGTATGTCCAGGGTGCCCAGCAGAGCCATGGAAAGAAGGCTCTCGCTGTGGCTAAGGGGCAGAGCCTGCCCTTGCCTGGGAAACAGCAGCATCTGCTGGTCATCTAAGGTGATGCAAGATCCCACAGTTACGAAGGTCTGGCCCATCCACACAGTCCAAAAACGGGACAGGGAATGATCAGTGTATCGTCTCCCAAAGCATAGTACAAACAAGCAGGATCAAAGAGAAGTCATCACTTTTAACAAGAATGTTCTTTATTTGTACAAAGCACTTTAATTTTTTCAACATTCTTCACTCATTTATCAACTTTTCACTGTATTCATTTCACAAATTAACAGTGTCAAACTACACTTCACTACCTGTCAACCTTCTTAAAGACAATAGAGTGCTTGGAGCACTAAATGGAAAAAGAAAAAAAAAAAAGCTAAGAAAGGTCAACAGAGATATTTTACAAGCAGTTAAAGGGGATGGTTTGGCAATGGGGGGATTAGATTCTTGAGCACTTCAGACTTCCCTTAAGATTCAGAGAGGTTCACAAAGTCATTTTTAAAAGACATGAGATTGGACTTAAGAAATCAGAGGAACCTGTACTTTGGGATATTAAGCAGGTTATTAAAGTTTTTGGACTGACAGAAGCCGAGAAAAGGGGGGGATAGTGGGAATGGGGAGCAAAGGAAAGGCAGAAGAGAGACAAGTGAGAAGCACAGAAGGAGAAAGCTGTGCCTAGAAGAAATAGTTTGGAACTTATCATGAACTGGAAGAATGAAAAGCTATAGTCACAAGTCTGGGAGATGGACTATAAGAAGAGAAAGCCTGGAATTTTGTATCTTCCGGGTCACAATAAATCCTAACATTGTATAGCGGAAGGCAGTGAGGTGCATCTAAGACTAAACCATGTGTTTTCTAACAGTTAGACACTGGCACACTTGCTTGACTAATTCGAGAATGCTGATTTAAAAGCGTATTTGCCTAGAATGCAGCCACACCAACAGGTCAAATGTCTGCAGACAATATATTGCAGAAGGGCCCCAAGCCAAGTGGGTCTGTAAAAGACAAAATCCAATTGTGACCGTCAAGTAAAGAGACCACAGAACAGATCCCATTGTTCTCCCACGGCCTTGTAGTAGCTTCCCAGAGCTAAGTCCTTCGACTACTTATAATAGCTAGTATTTTCAAATGCTGTGCAAGCAGGCTGACCATGATCAAAGCCACAATTTTTCCTAAGCCTCTGGCTGCCTCTGTGATTTGGGACACAGCAGGTGGGCATGGAAGTTGTTATTTTTGGTGGGGGTAAGGATGGGAGGGAACTGAGAATCAAAACCTGCCTCATCACATAGAAAAGTGAACAAGAGAGATCAAATTGACTGGTTAAACGATCCGTTCAGGATCCTCTTGCCCCAAAGTCATAATCGTCAGACCGATTAAGCAAAACCGGATTCTGCTCCTCAGATGCTCTGAGTCTGGAAGTGCTGGTTTTGATCATTCTAGCCAGTTCTCATTTCGATGTTCTCAGGCTCTTCTGCCTAAGTGCTCTGCCCAGTAGGAAAAAGCTTCAATAGAAACGTTACACCCCATTTCAGAGTGGTGCCTTCCAAGGTGCCACAGCCTCCTCACCCTATTCAGTTGTCCACTTCCTCCTCTTCATTCTGCTCTTCTTCTTCCAGCCTTTCCTCATCTTCATCATTGTCCTCATCCCTACTCTTGTCTTGTTCTTCTGAATCTGTTTTTTTGTCTTTGTCCTTCTTCTTTTGCTCTGAAGCTTCCTTCTTGCCTTTCTGCTCCCGCCTGTACGCTGTGAGGAGCAAGGTGGGGGTTAGGAGGCGGGGCTGAACCCGACAGGCTGCAGCAGCTAACTCCTGGGCCTAACTGGAAAAGCGGAGGCACAGAAGGAAAACTTGACCTGCCTCGAACTGGAAGACGTGAGGTGGTCAAACTCAACTGGTTCTGAGTCACACCTGACACTTGCTTACCGGCCTCAAAAAGGACCCAAGCCAGAAAAGACTTAAGACCAGCGGAGCAGGTCACCCAGAATGAACGTCTACTTGACCGAGAAAATAAAAGGGTCGTTACCTTCCAGAGCTTCTTTTAACGGGGCAATGAACCGCTGGAACTCCATCTCTTCCATGGCTGAGAGCACATCGCTGGCATTCAAAGTCTTGCGTTTCCCTTTCATCGCGAAGTTGTTGGCACTGAAACAGGAAAAGACATATTATTAACGGCCGTCGGACTCGCCCTTGCCGTCTATGGGGCAGGTGGAAAATGGA